TGAGACAGAGCGATGGGATCTCTTAGTAAATTAGGCACAGCCAAACAACACTGATTTTTAATGCAGCCAAATGCACAGTCAGACATTTAGGAACAAAGAAACAGAGGACGGCAGACTGTATTCTGGAAAGCACTGACTCAACAGGAACTCCCAGTGCGCTATTGTGGCTTTAAGGGCTGAAATGATTCTTGGATGTGAAAACAGGATGAGGGAGTCTGCATACAGCATTTATGAGACCGCTGCTAGAATACTGTGTACAGTTTCCGTTTCCGTACTTTAAAAGGGATATTAAAAAATTGGAGAGGGGTTCAGAGAAGAACTACAAAAACAATTCAAGGTCTGGAAAACCTGCCTTACAGTGAAATACTAAAGATACTTAAGCTTTTAAATCTATTGAAGATTAAGAGATGATTTGAGCATGACCTATGATTACCTACAGAAGGAGATACTAGATCTCTTTGATAGGCTCTTTGATCTAGCAGAAAAAGGCATAACAACATCTGATGGCTGGAAGTTGAAGCTAGACAAATTCAAATTGGAAATAAGAGGCAACCTTTTAACATTACCAAAAGAAGAGGTAAATTTATCACCACCAGGAGCCTTTATACTGAGGTTGGATGTCTTTCTAAAAGCTACGCTCTAGTCCAACCACTAGTCCCTGGGCCTGATAGTCTCAGTGACACACTTGGGAGTTCTCTCCCCTGCAGGAACTCTCTGAGTCCAGCCCATGTTATGTAGGATGTCAGACTAGAGGAGCAGAGTGGTTCCTTCACAGCAGGCGGCTGGGGGAAGTCCAGGTTCAGGGAATTGCCCAGGCAGTCTCTGCCAGCTGGGCTCTTACGCTGCTTCAGTCATCATTGCAAGCTGCTCTGCCCTCATCACAGGGGCACGTTAGCTTGATAGAGAAAGTGATGGAAGGGTTAAAATGATGGGCGAACACCGGACTGTTCTCTTCAACCACCTGGAGTCAGCCAGCAACTCTGCTGAAGGACCCTCCTGAGTTTGCTCCCGCACCTGGCTGCAATGTTGGGCAGCTCCTTAAACCTTCTGTCATCTCACCAGTGGAAGTGACTAAGCAGCAGCCGGCAGCCTGGGACAGGCTGCTCTGCCTGATGCGCTCACGGGGCTGGCAGGGGCAGAGTGGTTCTCCTTGCACCTTTCATTTCCCCACATCCCAGACTAGACTGACTGACCTGAAACTGGATCCTCTCATGGCCAGGCAGTTTGTGGGATGCCTGGCCCATCTGAGCCCCTGCTAGGCTGCACTGTACAGGGGATTAAGGTTTAATGGGATTAGGATAACGTTGAAGGCTCCTTTGAAAATCTGTGTCTATAATTTATTCTAATCCAAAGTAACAAGGGTGAGAGGGCTCCTAATTACCCAGAATACACAGGGAGCTAATTACAAGCAATGTGAGTAGCTTTTAGTTAATTGGCAGAAGGAAACTATTCAGATTCTTTCCTTCCTCTCCACATTTCCCCATTGCCAGGGCCAGGGCTGTCTGTAATACAGAACAGTGCAGGTCTGGGACTGCTCAGATCCTACACAGCAAGAAAGGGAAATGTCCAGATGAGCCTCTGCTCCAACACATTCCCCTGCCTCCCCTCCCCCATTCCTACTGCCTCCCCAGTCCTGCTCCTTTTGCATTCCCCACTGCTGTTCCCCCTCCCCGATTCCTCCTTCCTCTGCCTGCCTCCTCCACTCCGTGTCTGTGTGTGTTATGGGGCATTAGCCACGTTGTCTCATTTCAAGCATATCTTGTATGTGAGTGTATATTTGTAAAAACTAAAGGATGGCAAAGGTGCTGGATCCTGGTGGGGTCAGGCCTGAAAAGGCCCCCTAGCTGCGCAGCTGAACTGTCTCTCGGCTGTAATGCACTTTGCCTGTTTTCACAGGACACGCAGACTCGGCATGCAATTATTCACATAGAACAGGCGAGAGAAGAACACTGAGGCACATCAAAGCCCATCTTTAGCCTTTGTAGGTTCTGGCTCTTACAAGGCCAATTTCTGGCTTTGAATACACATGGGCGCCCACTGGAGTCCTTAGGAGCCGCAAATGCTCCCCAGACACAGACTATGGCCCGCAGTGTTTATTAAACAGCTGCAAAACATTCTGGAGGTAGTTAATTTCCACACAACCACTGTTTAAAATACCTTTAATTTATAAAATAGCCTTCTCTCATTTACATATAGTACAGACAGTCTGGCAGAGGGTGAGCACAGCAGGACAAGGTGCTATTTGCATTCCCCCCTCCTTGTGCCCTCCCTGGAAGCTCCAATCCCTCCCCCCCCCCAGTCTCTAATAACTCCCACAGTTACACTTCTGGATGGCGAAGATGGTGCGGATGTTGCCACTGCGGCTCTTGAATGTGTGTGTGTTGTACTGGTGAGGGACACAATGGCTGGAGGCACCTTCCGCCCAAACCAGGCATTTCTCTCCATTCTGCGAATCCCTGCGGTTAAAAAACAAAATCATTGACTACCCAGATGCGCAGAAGATGTAGCACTCTCAGTCTGCCCAGGGATCTGGGTTCATAGCTCACATCCTGTCACAAAGCTGGGCTCACAACTCATGTCTGGTCTCTGAAGCAAGTCTGGGTTCACAATTATTATTTGTATTGTGGTAGTACCTAATAATAATGCCCAGCTCTCATACAGAGCTTTTCATCAGTAGATCTCACAGCCAGTTACAAGGGAAGTATCATTTCCCCACATTTTGCAGATGGGGAAACTGAGGCACAGAGAAGTGCATTGACTGGCTCAAGGTCACTCAGCAGACTAATAGCAGATTCAGGAATAGAACCAAGTCTTATGAGTCCCAGTCTAGTGCTTTGCCCACTAGGCTACACTGTCTCTCTGCCTAGGAGCCCCCGTCATGGACCAGGACCCTATTGTGCTAGGTGCTGTACAAACACAGGGAAAAAAGGATGGTTTCTACCCCAAAGAGCTTACAGTCTTCAGCATGTAAAGAGACACTACAAGGAGGACAAAGCAATAGTAACAGTACCAAGAAACTATTTTTAAACACCCAGAGAAAGCAATAGCAAACTGCACAGAAGACTCTAGACAGTGGGGGTGGAGAGTGGTTAGGCTGCTCTCAATCCAGAAGTGGAAAGATGGGCTTGGAGCATCTGCCAATTTAGATTCTGTTTGATGCTCTCTCACAGGGGCCTTGGTTGAGCCATTTCATCTTTCTGTGCCTCAGTTTCCCCACCTGTAAAATGGGGATCATTTATTTATTGTTGCTTATTTGTTTCCGTTTGTGCCTATCAGAACTCCCTAGGCATGGTGCAAAACTAAAACAAACTGTAACCAAATACATGTCAACAGGCAGGGAAAGACAGCTGTTCTCATCCTCAGACAAGTTCTGACCGCACCAAACCTCAAAACAAGCAACACCACTGCCCATTTCCCAAACCTCACCCAGCCACCCAGACAAAGCCTAGAACAACAGGTGAGTTTGCAGCATGTCAAAAAGATGATCAAATCCAGGCTCTGGTACATCAAGGGAGAAAGTGAATTTGAAAACCAAAGACTGTCACCAAGAACACCCTGTTACCAGCCCCCTCTCATTTAAACCAGCTGTAGATTTGGGATGTCTGCAGAGGGACATCTATGGAGAGCAGTGGAAGGGGGAAACATTCCACAGGGAGGGCATGTCACTATGCCGTGACTTCTATGAGCAGAGAAGGCAATTTCAGCCAGATAGCAGGGCCATCTTTCCATCACTGCCATAGTGTCTGCAATAAGATCCTGGCTAGCTTTGGTGTCCAACAAGAAGGATGTTGATACATTGGAGAGCATTCAGAGAAGAGTCACAAGAACAATTCAAGGATTAGAAACCTGCCTTATAGTGTTAGTCTCAAGGAGAAAGGTATAACATGATCCAATGGCTGGAAACTGAAGCTAGGCAAATTCAGACTGAAAATAAGGTGTACATTTTTAATGGTGAGAATAATTAACCATTGGAACAATTTATCAAGGATCGTGGTGGATTCTCCATCACTGACAATTTTTAAATCAAGACTGGATGTTTTTCTAAATGATATGATCTAGGAATTATTTGGGGGAAGTTCTATGGCCTGTGCATAGAACAAGAAAGCTTGCATGGTCTTTGTCCAGGTTCTTATAGTGCACCCACTGCTGTAGAAACAGCGTCCAAGTTATAAAACTCACACTTGGATTGCCATCTTCAGAGTCAATGCTTGATTCTCTTTGCTCGAATCTCATGACATTACTAGAAATAACAATGTGGGATGTGAATTTATGAAAGACAAGTGAACTCAATGCAGAATATATTGGTGCAGTTCCCTACCAAACTCTGACAGGTTTCAGAGTAGCAGCCGTGTTAGTCTGTATCCGCAAAAAGAACAGGAGTACTTGTGGCACCTTAGAGACTAACAAATTTATTAGAGCATAAGCTTT